TTCCATAAATATGCATCCACTCAGTGCCGGTGCTTGGGATGTTGTAGATGGCTATTAGTAGAAATTTGCAAATGAAGTGGTTTATTAGTTTTTAATGGAAGATAACATTATCTAATGGAATAAGTGGTAATCATCCATTGTTTTTGTTATATGGTTGATAAACAAATATAGTAGATTTAAGGCGCATTGAAATTACTAGAGTCCAAATGGTGACAATACAAACTCAAGAGCAATTATGACATGGACTTTATTTTTTTCTAACCAAATGAGCATAGTTAGATAAGAGTGAGAAATTTTATATAAATCATATGCATGTATTGTGCACTGATGTTGAATTAAACATTTGAAGGTTTATTGCTCTCATGCTTTACAGGTGCGTAATATATACCTTTGTCTCTTGGTTTTGGATCGGCATAGTGTTTTCCTAGTTCACCATTACACAATAAATTATTATCCCCTTTTTAGACATTACATATATACTACTTAAATATTTATGAAATCGCCAATTCACCGTATCTCCCTGCATGGCACCCACTATATATACAGTTGTCCCTCAGGACAAAAATCTCAAGGTGCATTTCTCTCGAACAAACACATATGTATGTGTGTTTAATGCATATGCAAAAATTAAGGTTATGTCCTGCCAAATGATTTTTTTTTTAGAATTATAGTAATTGATCCCCCACTCTTACTATAACCAAGACCAAAGGCAGTATAAATCTTTCAGTGCTACTCCAATGGGCCTCCTGTCCGATCTTCAACACAAAGAAAACAAAACGACCTCTTGGCCAACCTCCCAGCACACACAAAAACAAAGTTCATATACCCATGACCGAACTCCCAACCAACACAGTAAAATAGAACTACTAGGTTCTGAAATTCAAACTCTACACACCACACCTCGACTGCAGTCTACTCTTGTTGCCTTCCCACACCTGATCTCGCTCCACACTCCTCCCTCCAACAGTATATCTATCCCATCACGGCCTCCAGCTTCCAAGACACAAAGATCTGCTAGAGCCTAGGGCTGTCTGCCTAGCATTCCATGGCGATGCAGAAGCAACAGTGCCGTTCCCAGCCACTAAAGACGGCGAGGACAGCCTCCAACGAACCGCAGTTGCCTGGGTTAGGCCCAACAGGTGAATCTGCGGCGACAATGCATGGAGACTGGCGACATGGCCAGCGGTGGTGGTGCTAGCAAAGAGGAGCGGGGGCGGAGGGGGCTGACTACATCCTCAAATCCTCACGCTTGGGTGCTTTTGCTGTTCGTCATTGGCTCTAGTCTGGTCAGCGTCAGCTCCAACATTGCCAGCCCCCAATTCCCGCACAAGACACATAGCCATGTCTCCGCACCGTGTCGTCCGACAAGGCCACAAGTGGGGTTTCGAGCACCGCGTTCTCCCACCGGCGTCAGCCAAGAAGAAGGCCAGGCGGAAGAGGACAGCAAAGAAGCAGGACAAGCCATGCGCGCTATGCGGCACGACCGAGATGCCGCTGTGGAGGACTTGGCGGATCGACCGCCGGGTCATGCTCTTCAATGCCTGCGGGATCTAGGTGAGGACACCCGAGATGGTGCTGCCGAAGCTGGTAATTAACGTCCCTCATATAGGGACGGTTGGTCATCTCCGAGCTCCAGCAACCAGTCGCGCTCCCACACGAGATCCAGCTGGTCTTGGACTCACCAGGGACGGTGCCCCCAAAGCAGGTGCATGCGCACCTCCCTCCTCCGGCGATGACAATGATGACGATAGTCTCCGAGGTTGGGTCACTCCTCCTCCGACGATGATGGTCATCTTCGATCTTGAGCAACTGCCCCCACATGAGATCCAAGACTCGTAATCCCCACTGGATAGCCCGATCCTAGACTCCATGTTTTAATTAAGGATGGCAACGGGGCGGGTTTAGGGCGGGTGGAGCATTCGTAGACCTGCACCCGAGACCCGACAACAAAACCTAAACCCGCCCCGAACCTTGTAACAGGGGAAAATTTGCCACCGGCCCCGAACCCATCGGGTTCCCCGAAACCCACGAACATGTGGCTGGTGCGTCGATCCAGAACTCACCAATCACAGATGGAAAGGAAACTCAATCACAGATCGAGAGGAAATTGATCGATAAATCAAAGAAACCAAGTCCATCAAGGAACACAGATCCAGAAATATTTCTTTTTGCGAATCCACACATCAGTACACACATTCATAGCAATAGCAATCAGCTAGAGTAGGCTGTAGGGCTACCGACACCGAGAGGCCGGCGCCTGAGCCACCGCCACCACCACGATGCGCGTGCGCGCGCTGCCGCGGGCGCCACTGCGGACGAGGCCAACTGCGCGCCTACGGGAGAGAAGCAGGGGAGATGGAGATGGACGACGACGGACCAATTGAGGCAGGGGCGCGGTCCCGGGCTCGTGGTGCGCGATGCGGAGACATGGCCCTCGCCCCCACCGGGTCTGAAACCAACGGGTTTCGGGTTTATACCCGACCCGCTACCATCCTTATGATTAATGTCGATATCTACCTGCTAAAGAGGATGTCGCCCAGTCGAGAGAAGTCTCCACCACCTCCCGCTCCTCCTCTGATGGTGGAACCTGCTCCGGCCCCAGGCGATGAGAATGGCAAGCGGGAGAAGTGGTTCCTGCACTATGACACCACGTCGACCCTATAGTGGAGGATGGGGCCAACGTGCACTACAGGCACGCTGTGCAACGCGTGCAGAGTGCGCTACAGGCACGCCCGCCTAGTGCCAGAATACTGGCCGAGGGTGAGCCCTACATTCAACGAGCCAAAGCACTCCAACGAGCATGGTGCTCTAGATCCGCCGGATTGAGGACCATCCTACACCACCGGCGCCGTACCAGACTATCAGGACCAGGATGCGCCGCCAGGGCTAGGGGCAGTAGGGAGTGAGATATGCTGCTTCAGGAATGGGGTATGCTAAAGCATTGCTTGCCTTCAAAGACATTTCAAAAGGGAGGTATACTCAACTAGAATTCAAATTCTCATTTGGGCCACACAACATTTTGGGAGGTAGCTCATGAGAAAATTAAGGTGAAGAATGATTGGCATGCCAAAAATGTTATTGCGGAAAAATCCAAGTCACGACAAACTTCATACTCTATTGGTAGAGACACTTCCTTGTAACCAAGAAATTGGGGATTTAAACCCCATTCCTACCACGCCCAGGTCTTGATCTTTTTCTCCTCCATCCCTCCTCCCCACACATCTCTTCTCCACCTAACCCTTTCCTAGGCACGACTAGTCTCTAGGAACCTTGTTTTCTATTTTCTCCTCCCCTGACCTCTCCATTTGTCTCTCCCACACATGGCTAGTCTCCATGAACCCAACTCCCAAATCTTTTTCTCTCTATTTCATCTCCCTCCCACCCCCACATGTCACTTCTCACTACAATAAAAATGATTTTGCGAGGCATTGCCCAAACATTAATGCAGGTGGTCACAAAATGCATTTGTTTAATAAAAAAACCCGATGAATTTCAAAGATGGACATTTTATTTACTGAGGTGGTCACAATGCTCGTCTTGCAAAATGGTTTCATGGAGGTGAACAATTTATTCACACAAGCGAACAGATTTTGTCCATCGCCTAAATCGATTTGCGGAGGCAGACCTCTTTAGTGGTCCACCTCCGAAAATGGAGGTGGTCGATCGCTTATAACGACCGCCTCTATTAATCATGGCCGAGGCCCAGTCAAAGCCCAAATCAGGCTTGTATAAAAGCAGCACTTAGGGTTTTCCTCTTAAATTATGATGAAATTGCCAATTAACCATATCTCCTTGCATGGCACACACACTATATATATATAGTCGTCCATCACAGGACAAAAATCTCGGGTCGTATTTCTCTCGAACAAACACACACATGTATGTGTGTTTAATGCATAGGCAAAAAATTAAGGTTATGTCATGTCAAATGATATTTTTAGAATTATAGGAATTGATCCCCAATCTTACTATAACCAAGACCAAAGGCAGTGCTACTCCAATGCTCAGAGTGCAGACCTCCTGTCCGATCTCAAACACGCCCAGAAAACAAAGCGGCCTTTTTTGCCTACCTCCCAGCATGCAAAAAACAAAGTTCCTACCCATGACCAAACTCCCAACCAACACAGTAAAATAGAACTACTAGGTTCTGAAACTCAAACTCTACACACCTCATCTCGACTGCAGTCTACTCATGTTGCCTTCCCACACCTGACCCCGCTCCACTCCTCCCTCCCCCTGTATTTCTATCCCATCACGGCCTCCGTCTTCCAAGACACAAAGATCTGCTAGAGCCTTGGGCTGCCTAGCTTGCCTTCCATGGCGATGCAGTAGCAATAGTGTCATTCCTAGCCGCTACAGACGGCAAGGACGGCATCCGACGAACCACAACTGCCTGGATTAGGCCCGATAATAACTGGGGAATCTACAACGACAATGGTTGGAGACCGGTGACATGGACAGCGGGGCGAAGGGGGCCTGACAACGTCCGCTCATCCTCACGCTTGGGTGGCTCTGCTGTCCATCATCGGTTCTAGTCTGGTTAGCGTCAGCTCCAACATTGCCAGCCCCCAATTCCAGTGCAAGCGACACAGCCAGGTCCCTGCACCGTGTCGTCCCACAAGGCCACAAGTGGGGCTTCGAGACCCGTGTTCTCCCACCAGCGTCGGCCAAGAAAAAGGCTAGGCGGAAGAGGACGGTGAAGAAGTGGAACAAGCCGTGCGCGCTGTGCGGCGCGACTGAGACGCCACAATGGAGGACTTGGCCGACCGACCGCCAGGTCATGCTCTGCAATGCCTACGAGGTCTGGGTGAGAGCACACCCGGGGTGGTGCTGCCCGAGCTAGTGTACCTCCCTCCTCTGGCGACGGTCAGTAGTCTACGATCTCCAGCATCTGGCGTGGCGCCCCACACGAGATCCGGCTGGTCTCGGACTCACCCGGGGTGGTGTGCTCCAGAAGTTGGTGCACCTGCATGCACCTCCCTTCTTCGGCGATGACAACGATGACGGTCGTCTCTGAGCTTGAGCAACCGCTCTCACAAGAGATCCTGGACTGGGAATCCCCGGCAGATATCATGATCCTGGACACCACGATTGATGCCGACATCTACATGCTAAAGAGGATGTCGCCTAGGCGGGAGAAGTCTCCACCACATCCTCCTCCAATGGTGGAACCAGACAGCAAGGAGTGTGTGGCTTTAGAGAGCGAGAGGAAATAGACCGCACCGTTATTAGGCCGAGGCAGTGGAGGATGCGAAGTGCTGCCGGAGTGTTCTAGGTCGCTATTCACGTCCCTCGACTGGTTCCAATCCGCCATCATGAGGAGGAATCCAAAGAGCACCTCGCCCCAACTCCATGAACGGTTCACGGGAGCGCCTGGAGACACCAGATGGAGATACCCCAATGGCGAGCAACCGAAATCCGCAGCTCACTGAACAACCTCGCGGTGCAAGAATAGGGGCTCTGGGACTGCCGTGCCTATCCTAGAGGGGAGTATATCAACGCACAGCCTAGTGCAGAAAAGGCAAACGGGGTGTTGCCTGCGCAGCGAGTGCGTGAGGCACGAGGAAGACGACACCGCCGAAACCGAAACTGAAACTGGAGCTTGAAACGTGTGGCGATCTCCTAGGGGTCATTGCCTTGCGAGATGAGATGCCGGAGAAAATTGGAAGCGATCCAGGAAACACGGGAAAGGACAGACCTGGTCGAAGGCATGGAACCGTGATGCCCCCCTCCCCCAGGAGGGCTTACGGTGGGAGGCCGAGACATCGCCCTCCGCCGCCATGTAGTTGAGGCACATTTGCGACTGCATCATGACACCCATCTCCTGTAACACCCCGATCGTGCACTACGGGATACTTGTTAATTACCGAGTGTGATAAACACTCGGCAAATATGGATAAACACTCGGTAAATTTTTTACCGAGTGCCACACTCGGTAAACATGACTCGGTAAACAACGACTCAGTAAAGTTAGTTTATCGAGTGTCAACTAACGGGGCACTCGGAGAATAAATTTTACCGAGTGCTACGCCGGCACTCGGTAAACAACTATGACGTGACGGTCGTCAGTCCCCAAGCTTGCCGTTAACGGCGTCGTTTACCGAGTGTTAGACATAGCACTCGGTAAACAGATAACCATTTTCATGATTAAAACAATTCCGCAAATATTTTTTTCCTAATATAGTTTACCGAGTGTACCGGTAACACTCGGTAAACATGTAACTCATTTACCGAGTGTTCCACTCGGTAAAAAATGGCACATATCCGAGTGGGGTCGTGGCACTCGGTAAAAAATGGCACACTCGGCAAAATTAACAGAATCAGAACCAATTTGGTTCTGTTCTCTGTTTTACCGAGTGTAACACTCGGTAAAACTTGTCCACAGTATTTTTTTTTGTTTGTTTCAGTGCATATCCAGCCACAATTAACAACAATTATAACAGAATATCACAGTTACCAACAGATAGACAATATATATCACATATATGTCCACAAATGTCACATCCACTCATTATAACCAACATATAGCTACAACAAATGTCACAAGCACAATGCAAAGTCCACAAACACCATCAACATGTCCAAAGTCCACAAAGTTCAACCCACTTCTAAGTTCAACATACAAACAAGTGAAACATGGTCCTGTCACATGGTCGGAGCCCTACCGAGAAACGGAGACAAGTCCAAGTCTTGATCGTTGTTCGATCCAGCTGTAGAAGGTCCCTGGAATGAGGGAGCAAAAGAAAATAAACATATTTGTCAATTAATCATAAGGTAGTATGCCAAATTCAAATATTCCTTCGAAAGACCAGTTAACAGTGACATCAATATATAGGCATATAATAGATAACACATATCAAGTTAGTTGCTGTTTAGTTCTCCTCTATGTGCAAGATATCGTCACACATGGTCGAGTAGACTGAACATGAATTGGGCAAACACCTATGTACTCATGTAGAACCTAACATGATGCCTTTCAAGGTCTGAACAATATTACTAATAATCTAACTTATACATGTATGTATCCTACTCTCTTCTAGGTTCTAACATGATAGTGTTGACTGTAGCACAATCTGAACTGAAAAAGCCTTTCAAGATGAAGAGTGACTCACAGGAGTGCCGTCGCGCGGAGGTGGAGGCACCAACGGTATCATCGGCGGCGGCGGAGGCGGTGGAGGCTGGCCCATGCTCTGAGAAAAGCTGGCCATGTACTCGTACCAGGCCTTCTGCGACTGCTGGAAGGCCTCAAGCTGGGCCTGCACTCGCGCCCTCTCCTGTGCCAACTCGGCCTGGTGCGATAGCTGGAGGGCCTGAAACTGGCTCTGTGAGGCCTGCTGTGACTCCTGCAGGGCTTCAATCTGGGCCTACAATTATTTATCACATAGTTAGAATGCAAATAAAGAACGGGTAGAAAATGAATGGACAACGAATGCAACAGAACTAACCTGGAGTGCTACCACCTGGGGCTGTGAGCGTGGGCGTATGGCCGGGCTCGAACTCGTGCTCCGGGCTCTAATCTGGGCGAGTGTCTGAGTGTTGGCCGTGTCTATGGTGCTGTTGCCCATATAGTACCTCCCGTGTGGCTTACCTGGTCCCAACCTCATGACGATGTCACCCTCGAGGTCAGCGGTGCTCGGATCAAATTCTGGCCCATGGATCTCTCTCGCCATCGCCGTGTACTCGCTGAGGCGACTGTGCACGCTCAGGTTACTGTATGCCTCGGGCGGGTCCTCCGGGTTGTAGACGAGGTCGGGGTCCTTTGCCTTGCCCTTGTGTGCCAAGGCATATGCCTTGAACGAGGCGCACTCCTGGCCGGGGTGGAACCGCGTCTGCAGGAAGAAGCACAACAATAAGATATTATGCATTCGAAGTTAGCGTAGCAACAACGAAATGAAATCCGCGTACATATCCGGCTGCATATTCCTTGAGGGTAGTGGGCCCTTGTTTGTGCGAGGAACCCTGCATCATCGCACGGCAACGTGAGCGTACGGCGTGATATTGCTCGTACTCCTCACTCAACCACGTGTCCACAATGGCCTCCCAGCAGTTGTCCATCCCCACACACCAAGCAGGAGGCACCTGCACGTACACGAGCACATGACAAATCATAAATCAATTTCAGTGCAATTAATCACAGACGATGTAATCTCATGTTTACCGTCAAGTATTGCTCCTTAGTTAGGGGCGTGTGCTTCGCCCGCGCCTGGTGACTCTGTTTCCTCTGCGGGCATGGTAAATTCTTTTGCACAGGAGCTTTGTCTCGTAGAAGAGGTCCTGCACTCGGTGAACACACTGTTCACCACGTCATCCGCGTCCTCCCTACGTACTCCCTCCGCCAAGGTGTAGTAATCCTACAAGCAAATACAGTCAGTAATATACAATTAATGTGATGTTATTATCAGCATAGTGCGATGAACACGTACCCACAGCTCTTTCATCACCCGGTCGGCCTTGTTGTTATAACACACCGCCACTCGATCGGTCGATCATTTGGCGGCGTGCCAGTGGGACCACTTCATGGCGGGCTGCACAACACCATCGATCCTCACCATCCCGGGGTAGTTTGCCCTGCACAGAAGACCCAGGATCCCGTTTACTCGGCGAGAGTGACTCCCTGGGATCACCATTTCCCAATCCCTGCACAAAGTTATTGAGATTGAATATTAGTTTCTGTTATAACTTAAAAACCTGTGAATTAGTGTTAACATGCAAAAATTACTTACTTAGTTCCGGATGGTGAATCACCTTTGGCCGCGTCTCAGATGTGGGTAAGTCTGGGAGGCGCGACGACCCTCGCAGCCAAACCGTAGGCACCCCATTTTCCTCTGCCACCAAGTCGGCATCCTCCTCGCGCTCAACCCGCTCGGAAGCATCCTCCCTCCGTGCCTCCTCCACCGCCTCCGCTATCTCCTCCCTGGTCTCCTCCTCCTCCTCATCCTCCTCCGTGGCCGCTACGAACTCGTGGTCGTCGTCCTGTGGAGGAGGTGTCGGCTCTCGACGCCCTCGTCGTCGCCGTCCTCCTCCTCCACCCTGGGCTCCTCCTCCATCCTGGGCTCCACCTCCCTGGGCACGCCCTCGTCGTCGTCCTCCTCCTCCTCCCTGGGCACGCCCTCCACCCTCAGTCTGTGCACGCCCTCCTCCTCCACCCTGGCTGGACCCCTCGCCACCAGCCAGTAAGGTCATAACCGACCTAAGCTTCCTGATTCCACCGCCCACCATCAATCACCTGCAACAAAAGGAATAAACTATCAGTACGCATATACAAAAGTAAATGTATCATACATGTATAAAAGAGATGCAAAATAAGTAAATGTATCATACATGTATAAAAGAGATGCAAAATAAGTAAATATATCATACATGTATAAAAGAGATGCAAAATAAGTAAATGTATCATACATGTATAAAATTGCCATAAGTACTACAGATCTTACATGTACTAGAAATAATCATCAAGATCATCGATAGGTGGGCCAAAAATCTCATCATCGCTATTGTCGACGTAATTATGATCGTCTCTCAAAGTCTCATCACTAGCGACACTGCCTGAATGGTGTTGCTCAAGTAATAACAAGTCCTTCGCGTTGTGAACCTCCTCTCCATCATCCCCGTCAACAATGATCGTATCATTGTCTACTTCCATTGCGAGATCTACATCTAAGACAATCTAAAAACTCCCTTCTAATCCTTCTTCTTGAAAGAACTCTCCGTCATATGTGTTTGCATCGATGTTATAATCATCATCGTTTGGGACGGCTACTTTACCATGCGGCGATACCTTGTACACAACATCATACGCCTTAAGACGGTCTTTGGTTTGGCACGGGTATGAGAGATAATAAACTTGCGTGGCCTGTTGGGCCACAATGTACACGTCCCTGGAACTCTAAAAAACTAGTAATATATATGTGGAATATCTATGTGTATCCTAACAACACCTTTCTATAGGTAAAGCTTTTGTTCATCACCTAAAGGTTTATGTTCCAATTAGTGCAGGAAAAATACAGTCTAACAAAGACAGGCAAACAGTTAAATCTTTTCTCTTTCTCTAGTGCCCCGTCTCGATTGCGATAATAATGCAGATAATAAAGCAGCAACACTAGTAGCTAATCGACACACCACACCAGCACCTACCTACTTTCGCTAGGTGGTTTAGTAGTAGCAGTAGTATACAAATTTATTTACAAAGCTCCGTGCACGCTGGATGTGATTCTAATAATTGACCTTTTCGCAGGTAGATGACCTAAGAACTAACCTAACCACCATAAACGATGCAACAAAGGAGGTATGGCAATACTCTGTTACAATATTGAGATATGTTATACCGATGTGCTGGCTTAATGGCTTGATTTATGCAGGTCAAAGAGTCTCTGAAGTTACGACAGATAATGCAGACCATTCTCACACTGGGGAATGCACTAAATCAAGGGACAGCACGAGGTATTTTAGGAAGGTGCTTCTATGCTTCACCCCCTGGGAGTTCCACCAACCTAAAGCACAAAGTCAAGAGTGAATTTGAATGATTCACCCCTTGGAGTGCTTCGAGATTTGTGTGACTCGCATTAAACGGGTGAAGCATAGAAGCAAGTTCCTATTAAATAACTGCAGAGAAGACACATGCAATGCCTTTTCTCTGAGAACTTTCCGTGATGCCCTTGTCTGTGGATTGATTGAACAGAGACAGCCTTCTTAAACTGTCGGATACTCGAGCTAGAAATAATAAAATGACGCTGATGCATTATTTATGCAAGAGATTTGTTATAAATGTACTGTTGCCACATGCTTAATCAGTTAAACCTTACAGGTCTTTACTACTGAACACATGTTACATACTTCATGATCAGCTTTTGTTAGATATGAACATTAGTGTGCCCCTAGCCTCTCTTCCCTAATATGGCAGAGCACACAAGATTGTACTCCAGTGGCCACTAGCCCTTCTACATGCTGATGTGGTGCTAATCAGACTTATGACTCGTTTATATTTAATAAGCTTCATTAGTCCTTATCCATGAGAAGTCTTAGATCCCTGATTATATCACTATTATTGATGCCCCATATGGCTATGTATTTATTTCCATTCTCTTTCTTTTCCCTTTGGTGACTCATGTTGGGTTTTAACTCTGGCCTACTGCAACTTGCTTGGGGCTAAAAGGCTTTTTTGTTGTTGTTGTTGTTGTTTGTTGATTCCCAGCATTTGTATTATACTCTATTCATAATTTGGACCAACGATTAGTCAAATTATATGCATACTTAGTGCACAAAAGTTATTTGCATGGATTAATGTATCAAATATCTCTTAAGATGACATCAATTGTAGCACTTGGTGCTATATTGTAAAGAGATTAGTGGTGAAAATATTACCTCTAAAGAGTTCTTTTCAAATTCTAATACTCTTACTAAAAACAAACAGTGGGGGTATAAATGATTTTGTTGTAGTCATGGACTCATGCTACATGTGTTTAGTATCTATTTGGTACATGGTAGCTCAGTGTAAAAAAAAAAGATTAGTAACTGTTTATCTCTAGAATTGACAAAAACTGATACAATCAGACAACAATGCTAGGATACTCCAAATACCCCAAAGGTCAATTGTCACCATATGTCCATATTGATATGTCAATTGCCTTAAGCGGTCAATGGATTCGCTTTGTAACAGTTAGATACTAAGATCTTACCATATCAGCTTGTATTAAATGTGTGCCTATACAAAGCTTGCTTTAAGTTTACAGAATTACAGTTATAGCAGTCCAACCAGATTCAGGCATGTATTTGTTGACCTTGAACCATTTTCTTTTGAGAATATCTCACATGCAAGTTACAGTCCTGGGGAGGTGGTGGTCAAGGGTTTGCTTGTGTACTTCAAAGGTTTCAGAAAGTCAATGGCAAATGTCTGAAAATCTGACCAAGGTTTTGGCTAAAGCTTGCTGGGCGGGTTTATGTTTAGAGTTATCGTTAAGATATTGTGAGTTAGACTGCTTTTCCCAGCTTTCAAACGAGTTGTCGGTGAGCTAGATTGATTTTCCCTGCTTTCAAACGAGTTATCTGGTCCTGACTAACTTTACCTGGTTAACTGCAAAGTATGGTTTTAGTCAGAAATATGGGTGCTTCCCAGTAAACTGATTGTGTCCAGGTACTAGTCTTGTTCTAGTTATCCAAACACGTGCTATATAGGTGGGCAACTGGCCACTGTGCTACTTTTGTTTTACATCATAACCACACATGCTTGTAAAAGTGGCCTGGCATGCTAATGTTCCACACTGTATAATGCCAATCAATGAATATTATCTACCTTTAACCCAGTTTCATGGCAACTCCACTTTGCTCCTTGCATGCCAGATTTATTCGTCTGCTTTGTGGCTGTTAGTCTGTCATTTTTTTCATTTATAATTTAGCTAACTTCTTTCCATTTCTATACACGCTAGCTTCTTGCTGAGAAAATGCCTGAACTTCTTGATTTTGACAAAGACCTAATTTATTTGGAAGCAGCTTCCAAGGTATTTCAATCAACTTATCTTTTGCACTTCTGGGTGAATAATGAGCTTTCTACTCATCAAGTATGTTACGAAACAATTGAATTTGTTAATCCCCACAGATCCAACTGAAATTGCTTGCGGAAGAAATGCAAGCAATAAACAAAGGTCTTGAGAAGGTGGAGCAGGAGCTAGCTGCTTCAGAAAGTGATGGTGCAATTTCAGTTGGCTTTCGTAAGGTATGGTAGGGTTTATCTCTTCTTTTAGGAGTTGCTGGATGACTGAACTTAAATCAGTTTACGTCAATACGTCACTTCAAAATGGTTTAGGGTTAATCCATCCATTTCCATTCCATCGCATCACGGCGCCACCAGACGGAGGGGAGAGGTGGGCAACAGGGCAGGTACCTGGCGTCGACGGGAGCAGGCAGGGGTCCCTTGTCGCCACCGGTGCGGCGGGAGCACGTACGGAAGGGGAGGCCGCGGTCAGGGGAGGGGAGAGAGTGCTCGCCGTCGCCGCTGCTGCTGGGGCCCACCCCACCCCACCTGCTGAACGGGCAGGAGGCGAAGGAGGAGCACGGGGCGGCGTCGGCGGAGGGGATCGTCGTCCGGTGCGCCGGTGCCTTTATCTCTCTCTCGTCTCTCTCTCTCTCTCCGTCTCTCCGGTGGTGGCGGCGGCTGTGGGGACCGCGCCGGTGGCGGCGGTGGTGGAGGGAGGAGGCGCGCGGTGGGGAGGCGTGTGCGGTGTGTGTGTGTCTGTGAACGATTTGAGGGAGAAACGGCTTGTTGAATGCTTCATTTAGCGAGTGCCTAGATGTACGGCACTCGGTAAACTCAAGCACCGCAGCCCAATGACATGTGGGGTTTCTGGTACATGTTTACCGAAAGTGCCCAGATCTCACGGCACTCGGTAAACATATAGCATGGCAGCCCACTGGTGCACAGGTGGGCCGTGGCTAACCTTTTCTTGAGTGTTTGAGGTCACACTCGGTAAAAATATCTATTATTTCATGCAAAACAAAAAGAAAAATGCCAATTTAATCCTAAAATTCACCAAACTTTCACATGAACTATTTCATGTCATCTATTTACTATCTAAAAAATTCCAAGTTCAAATCATAATGTTGAATTTCACTCTTAATAGAAATCCTACTCGTCATTGTGAATGTTTAGCGTCTCTTTGGGAGATGTACCGGTTCGGCGCGACGAATGTAAAAATACTTCCAAAACGTTATGAAATTTTTTCTATAACATAGATGTATGCTTCAATGTTAATTCTTCCAATCTTGTGATTTATCGAGTTCGATTTTAATTATTACAATTAAATTCACACGATATGTTCCTAATTTTCATAAAGAATGAAAATTTTGTGAAATATAGTAAATAAATCGAAATAAACACCATATTTTGGAATGGAGTACTAAATATCATATGTGGATAGAGGAAAAAGAATGAAGGGAAAACAAGAAATTTGGTTGAATTTTACCGAGTGTTGGGCCAATACACTCGGTAAAAGATAGTGTTTACCGAGTGTATTGGCCCAACACTCGGTAAAATTTTCATGTTTGCCGAGTGTATGATCATAACACTCGGTAAACATGTCATGCCTTGACGCCGTCTGGGCACGGTTGCTGTCCTAGGTGACGTGGCACGTTAATACCGAGTGACCGTTTTTACCGAGTGCACCCCGTCGGTAAACTTGTAGTTTTACCGAGTGTCTGAATATACCGAGTGTGCTGACTCGGTAAAGCGGTTTACTACCGGGTGTTTATGTTTTCCGAGTGTTGGCACTCGGTAAGTACTTTTTTCCGAGTGCCCCGACTTTTGACACTCGGTAATTGTCGGGGCACTCGGTAAATACACAGTCTCCGGTAGTGGTGGGAGATTGGCAGTAAAACCCTAGCACGGGCAACAGCAGCGGAAGCATGGCAGGGGATCAGGGGAGGGAGAAGACGTACGAGACGGATATGCTCTGCGAGAATGTGTTCAGGTGGCCCCACGGTTCAGGTGGAACAAGTAATAACATGTAGATGTATTTGCTTTTACAATTATTTTATTAGTAGGAGGACTGAGAAAATTTTTATATAAATCATATGCAAGTATTTTTTTTACTGATGTTCAATTAAACAATCGAATGTATTGCTCATGCTTTATGTGTGTGTAGCGTAGTATACTGTCTCTTGGTTTGAGATCGGCATAGTGTTTTCCTACCACTACACAAACTCCTGGCCCCTGTTTGGACTTTATATGTGTATAGACTACTTAAATGATTATGAAGTCAGTGATTCACCATATCTGCATGGCACACACTATCTTTCCTGAGTCGAAAAGTCTGATGGTGGTGTGTTTCTCTCCAACATATATATACACCATTTGTTTGCACGCATGCATGTGTTTAATGCATAAGCAAAAATTAAGGTTTTACAAATAAGAGAGTTCCATAAACGAATTAAACCATGAGATGCAGAATTTCTCAGACAAACACGCATATGCCACATATGCTATACTGCATACCATCACGCCATGCATTACTGGCTCAGTTTAGATTATTATGGCGAGGCTAGGAAGCTAACTAGTAACTAACTCGGAGATGACCGTCGCCGGCGGAGGGAGGTGCACGTGCACCGCCTCACGCAGCGCCTCGGCCGGCCTGAGCCAGATCCTGCAGGCGCTGCAGAGCGCGCCCAGCAGGAGGCGGTCCTCGCGGTGCTTGAAATTATGGCTCGCGGCCGGGCGGTGTTCCTATTCCTGCAGGAGGCGGTCCTGCCTATAGTGCACGCCGGACGCCGGGTGGTGGCACCGCTTCGATGACTTTTGAGGATGCGGCGGCTTCCTCTCTTCCTCTTCTGTTTCTTCTCCGGCTTCGGCGCTGGTTCCGTCGTCGGAGACTCGGAGATGACCGTCGCCGGTGGAGGGAGGTGCACGTGCACCACCTCCCGCAGCGCCTCGGTCGGCCTGAGCCAGATCCTGCAGGCGTTGCAGAGCGCGCCCAGCCCCATCGGCTGGATCCTCCACTGTGGCGTCTCAGTGGGGCGCCGCACTGCACTCACTGCT